ATTAATAATAAAATATTTAGATAAATGAAGGGGGAAAAAAAAGCAGAAGACAATGATAAACAATAAATATATCAATAATTTTAATAAATTTTAAGTAAGAAAATAATAATAATAATAATAATAATGATAAATGTTTATTTACAACTTTTAGATATCCATTAACTGGGTTTCCCATGTGCCAGACTACCTGTTCTGATTCTTGTCTGCTGTTTACAGACCCCCCCCTTTTTTTTTGTTTCTTCTTTTTCTTCTCTTAAATTAGTTGTAAAAACCGTATTTATCTTCATATCCATTTCACCCCCGGTCCAAAGGGGAGAAAATTATCTGATGCCGTCAACCCAGGTGTTTGCAGGCTTAAGGGCTTGAAAATAATAATTTTTATTATTATCATTATTATTTCTTTCTTTTTTTTTTTTTACTTTTCTTTCTAAACAATTTGTTAAATGTTTTTTTAAATTGTTTATCCATACGTTTGTGTTTGTTTGCTGCGTTTCAACGCATGCGCAAAAATTAAAAAAAAAAAAATTTCTTTTTAAAAGGTTTAAAATTGATTTTTCACAATCAATTATTTCAATTTTCCCTCCCTCTTCCTCGTCCTCCCGGTTAACACGTTTTATGTTGTTTATATAATTATATTTTATATAAAATAAGAAAGAGAGAGAGAGAGAGAAAGAAAAAATTGATGATCCATTTTTTTTTAAAAAAAAAAAAAAGGAAAAAAAGAATTTTTTTTCTTTTTTCTTCTACCCTTATACACTCGAATAGGGATTCTTTCCCCCTTCCTTCCCCCCACTCACACACACACACATTTTCCTTTTCCGCCATTAAATATTCTCTTTTCAAGACTCTTTAGATTTTTCCGTTTTGATCGCGTTTCCTTTATAAAAAAAAAAAAAAAAACACGGTTAAATTTTATTTTTTCAACGTCAAGAGAAAAGTCAACATATCTCCTCATTTCCCTCAATGTCAATTTTATTCTGGTTATATCCAACTTTTACCCTCTCTTTGCTCTAAGAAGCAGAGGAGCATCATCATCATATAATATAATGTGAATATGCGCTTTGGTTTTTCCTTTTTTTTTTCCTTTTTTTCTCCCAATAAAAGTCATATTATTTTCCCAATTATGCCGTTCATTTTTTATTTGATTAGACATTGCTCGGATACTTGACTCGTGTAGGAGAAGATTTTTATATGAATTTAATATAACGAAATAAATTTTTTCTTTTTTTTTTTTTTTTTACTCTCGGTACGCGCATTTAATAATTTTGCATTCAAAAAAAAAATATTAATAAAACAAAAAAAAAAGTTTTCGACTAATGACACGTCACAGAAAAAAATTAATAAAATAAAATAAAAAATTACAAACGTTTACTTATTATTTAAAGACAGAAAGAAAAATAAATTTGTTGAACGGCTTCAACAACAACAAACTTTCCTCTTTTTTTTTTTTTTTTTTTGAATTAAAGTTTTTTAATGCAAAGAGGAAGAAGAAAAAGAAAAAGAAGAGAGAATACTTTACATTTGAATATTTGCATACGGTTTTTATAACGACAATGATAATGGGGCAGAGAGTTTTGGAGGGTTACAAAAGGGTAAAAAATAAAAAAAAAATAATAATGGCGGACTGGCTAAAAAAAAAAAAGAAAAAAAATTTTTAATGGATCTTTTACTCTCTCTCTCTCTCTCTCTCTCTCTCTTTAACCATATTCAAATTGTTTGTACCATCATCGTATATTTTTTTTTATAAATTATTTTTTTATAACGTATACAAAAAAAACCGACGTGAGAAATTTTATTATTATTATCGTTCGGTTTAAACGTATGAGACACACTTAAACAATTTTTTATTACTTTTACGTAATTTTTAATAAATTTCAACCCTCCCCTCCCCCCTAAAAAAAAGAATTACTGAATTTTTTTCTTTTTGTTTATTTAAAATTTGATGCGGGGGGAAGAAAAAGAAAAACTCACACACGTCGGATTATATTAGCGATTAAATATTATTATTAAGGTATTTATGGTACGTAAGGTACGTGATAGTAATAATAATATTACGTAATTTTTTAGTAACTTAATAATTAATACTAGGAAATACACAAACATAAAAAGTTTTTTTTTTTTTATTCATCCTTTGTTGTTACATATATTTATCACGCGACGGACATTTTCTTTTTTTTTTTTTTTTATTACTGTTAACCGTGTGTAAATAAAAAAGGGGGGGAAATGGAGGGGGGAGGGTAATAATAATATTTTACAAAAGGTATATTTTCGTTGAAATTTAATTTTTGAAAATTATAGACATTATAGAAAACATAATTTGATATTAAAATGTTTTCGTGCGTTTGATTTTATAAAACGTTTTAAAAAAAGTTTATTTACGAATTTGTTTTGTTTTTTTTCTTTTTTTTCCCCCTACCCCCCACCTCGCCCCTCGAAGAAGAAATTTCTAGAATGTTATGCATATATGTGTGTCGCGATGTAATAATTATATTAATTATAAAAGATTCCCCGTTAAAAAAAAATTAATTTTATTTTATTTTTACCCTTTTTTTTTTTTTTTCTCAATATAAATTTTCTCATGTCTCAACAGTGGCAAATATTTTAGGTGAGAAATTTGAACGTGGGGTTAGAAATATCTGTTTTGAATTTTCTTCATTATTTATTACATTGCATTATTTATTCTTGAAGTTTTTTTTTTTTTCTTTTGAACCTTTTTTTTTATTTTATAAAAAGGTTATCGTGCATAAAATACGCATAGAGAGAGAGGCTGAGGAGAGTATATATATATATATATATATTTATAAATATATATATTTATATTCTATGAAGTGAAAAATGGTAGTTTATCTGATGTTAATAAATTATACCTTTTCTTTCTATTGATTTAATATTTTTAAACCCTTGACGTTCATTTGCATCTTCTGCTACCACTCTCGGGTCATACATTGAATTTACAGTGGAAGGAGAGAGAGAGAGAGAGAGAGAGAAAAAAAATATCTGCCGTGAGATTTTAACTCTGCAATTTTTTTTTTTTAAACAACGTTTTTTTTTTTTTTTTATAAATGGATTATGTAAATAAATGTTTTTTTTTTGTTTAGTTTTAGAATTTCGTAATCCATCAATCAATCAATCGTCGATAATCAATAAATCATTGATAATCGAATAAAATTGTTTATTTTTTTTTTTTTTATCAAAAGTTCAATTTTCCTTTTTTTTTTTTTTTTTAATTAAAAAATATTATTTTAAATGATGTTTTTCCGCTTGCATTCTATGTTAAAAATTTTTTTTTCTCTCTCTCTCTCTCTCTCTCTCTCTCTCTCCTTATCTAAAACGTTACGTAAATTGTAATTTTATCATCATCATCATCATCATCATCATCATCATCATCATCATTATTATTATTATTATTATTATTTCGCTCAACTTATTAAAAGTAAAAGTTAATAACATTTAATTGTTTTAAATTGGACGTTCGAAGAAAAGTCACGATCGTTAAGTTTTTTTCCTTTTTTTTTCGCCTTATTATTTCGTCAAAATTTTTTCGATATTAATAATAATACTAATAATAATAATAATAATAAATAAATGTTAATAACAAAAGATGGGGAAACGTTTGAAAGAAAAAAAAGAATTTTTTGACCACAGTTAAATTGTAAACTATAGCATAAAAAAAAATGATCAAAACATGATGAGAGAGAGAGAGAGAGAGAGAGAAGGATACCTATCTACCATCATGAAGTTGTTGTGTTATTGATGATGATGATGATGATGATGATGATGTAAGTTGAATTTTCTTGGTTGCTAGTTACGTGGGCCGATTTGCCTCGAGTCTTATTTGTCGGAAAAAAAAAAAAAAGCTTGAACACTCCTTGTTTTTTTTTTAATCAGTCCGGATTCTTTCGCCTAGATGGTGACAGCATTCATGTGATGATGTTTCATCATGGTTTTTTTTTTTTTTTATAGAGCCTAAACAATGTTATAAATGCGAGGAAAGGAATCACATGTAACCGTCGGTTGATAATAATGAGAATGTGAGTGAGAGAGAAAGAAAAAGATCAACGAGTTGCAAATATATAAATTTATTTATAATTTTCTCTATGTGTTTAATGTTAATTATATTTATTTAATGGGAAATGACGTGGTTTTAGATACTCGAAGTACCAGTTAGGTAACTTGCGCGTTCTAAATAAAAAAAAAAATTGTTTAATTTTTACAAAGTTAAAAAAAAAAAAATCCACGAAGGACGTGTGTTATTAAAATCGATTTATTTATTTTTTATTTTAACATACATAAATAAATAAATAATTAAAATTTGTGTTTTTTCTTATCGTTTAAACTTCGTTTTAATCGGTGTCAAATGTTAAATGTGTAATTATTATTATTATTATTATTAATAAATTTAAGTTTTTATGTGTGTATATATATGTAAACGTGGAAGAAGAAGAAGAAGAAGAAGAAGAACGAAAAAAAAAAATTGAATTCGTTTCGAAATCAAATTTTATTTAAACTCTAATTTAAAAAAAAATCAATAATTTTAATAATAATAATAATAATAATTTACTTTAAATTTTATGTATTTTATTAAATTTTTAAATGCGAATCAACGTTTTATTTATTTAAAAAAAACTGCGTGTAAAAAAAGAAGGGACAAAGAAAAAAAAAACAATTTTTATATGAAAAAGGATTTTTTTTTTTTTAAGATGAAAAAAAAAAAAATGAAAGTGATACCTTTCGATGAAAGAAAGAGAGAGAGAGAGAGAGAGAAAAGGGTCTTCCTTCTTGATGGTTTATAGGGTAAGTTTTTTTTTTATAAGAACAACCGACACAAGTGATTTTTTTTTATTAAACGTATCTTATTTAAAAAAAAAAAAGAAGAAATAAAAGGATACGAATACAACACAATGATAGTTTTAAACGTGAATTTTTTTTTCCAGAATATTATTATTATTATTATTATGGAAAAGAAGAAGAAAGAAGAGAAAAGAAAAGAAAAAAAATGTCGGGTATAATTCAGCAGCGAGGTATAGAGTTCCTACGTGCTTTGGTTACTGTAGGAACTTCATACCGTGCTCTTGGATGTGCCTAATTCATCACAGGTTTCATTATGGAATATTAATAATAAATATTATTTATAAACAAATTTTCATCGGATGAAATTATATTTTATCATTATTATTATTATTTGTAATAACTTAAATATAATAATAATAATAATACGTCAAATTTAAACGTTTACGTATAAATATATAAATTATTACGTGTAAGTTTTTTTCTTTTTTTTTCGAATGTTAATTATGGTTTTCGAAAACTTTTTTTTTCTTTTTTTTTTTTTTTTTTTTTTGTAAATTAAATTGTTACGAAATTAATTTTTTTATTTTTTTCCCTCCGTTTTATAATAATAATAATAATAATAGAAATTATTTTTCTCACGATATTTTTTATTAAACCGCATAACAACAACATGGATATGAATATTTTTTATAAATAACATGTTATAAATTTTTTTTTTTTTTATAAATAGTAACACATGTGATGCAAATGGAGGACCATTTTAAAAAAAACTGTCTTGCATTTTTAATGAAAAAAAAAAATCTTATACGCACACATACGCACACACATCCACACACACATACGCACGGTATTAATTTTTTTTTTTTAAGGGATGTTTGATTGTTAACCCTTTACATTTACATTTACCTTCCCACAGTATAGAAAAACCGGAAACTGTAGGGTTTATTATTATATATCTTATTAATTTGCGGTTCTGCATATTATTAATAAATTTTGTTTTTTAAATCAATCTCTTTCTCTCTCTCTTTCTATCTTATTAATATTTTTTCAATAACCTATTCAAAATCATTTATGTATTTCTTTCTATTTTTTATTTTTTTTTAAAATAAATTAACCCCCTTTTTTTATTTAAATTTTTTTTTTATTTTTAACCTTTTATTACTATTATTATTATTAATATTTTTTTTTATAAATAATAATAATAATAATAATAGTAAAAACAAACTCGGATTTATTTTTTATTTAAAGATTTAATCTTATATTTTGTCAGAAATTGATGCTGCAAGGTAGCATTTAAGATCAATCTGATTTTATTTCAATAATCGCGTCTTGATTCGGACTTAATTTCCCTGCAACAATGATGTCAAAAAAAAAGATGGCGCGGGTGTGCTATGGTTGACACGCGTTTACGTCATGTTAATTTATTTTATTTAATTTTAATGGTTTTTTTTAACGATTTAGTTATAAGTTATGTATCGAAAGTTTTGTAATTTAGTGTAGTTTATTGTGATGTAATTAGTTTTTTATATTATTTAGTTATTATTATATTATTTTAAGTTTTAATTTACAAATGGTCAACGGTTTCATGTAAAACAAAAGGAAGCGTTTGGGGATAAAAAAAACCTTAGAAGATGGTTTAGTACATATGATTATTATGGGGTAAGTCTTTCATTTTCATACTTGTATTACACT